AATTTTTATTGAATGTCACAATATTTCACCATCAACGATATTCAATAATTTTTTGGGTAATTACTCCATTAGTTTGTTATAATTATTAATAGAAAGATCGAAAATGTAGAAAAAATTCCTTCGATCCGGCTGGTTTCGAACTGACGTCTCCTAGCAAACCGTGCCAGATGCTATGCCAACTAAGCCATGGAACGAACCAGCGGACCTCACAAGTTTTTCTATGTGCATGTTGTCGGTTTTTATATTTGTTTTTCAACGAATTTTTAGCCGTATCAATGAGAAATCCATGAAATAATTTCATCACCCAGTTTAGATTTTGTATTTTTTTTTAATTTTGTTTTTTGGTTCTTTATTTTTTTTACAAAATTCGAGAATCATAATATTAGTACTTAACTATGGCTGTTTACGTTAAAACAGAAAATGACCAAAAAATGAAGTTGACGTTTCATTGGAGGTTTCGACGTGATGAAAACACTTTCGACGTATGAACACAAGTGGCTTTATTATAGGGTACGAATTATCGTTGAAAGAATTATGATAGTTTTGCGGTAACATGAATATCATGCCCTCATCGCATTTGCAGTTTGCGCAGTGTACCTTCTTCTTTTATTTCTCTTTATCATTCTTAACTCCCTTCACAATTATCTTTCACACAATTTATCTTTTGGTCTTCGTTCATCTTTAAAACTGTCCACATTCTTATTTAACATCTTCCGAATAATACGGTCATGAACCCTCGTGGTAGCTTGAACAATGGTATAAAAGAGTTCAACGTTGTCGTCTGTATAATGATAATTTTCGTCACGAATAAAATTGCTATAAACATTTTTCAATTGCCTTATTTTGATAATACAATGACTATAACAATGTGTTTTTTGTATGACAGCAAGTGACGGGACAAACAAGTCGTGCGTCTAGTGGTAAGCGACATGCCTGACTTCAGCAGTTGCAATGCCACTCAGAGCTTTAATTCGCAAAGACGGCGTTGTCACCGCGCCCATCACCCTGAGGGCGCGTTAGCATTATGTCGTAACGTTTTATTTATCTTTGGAGGACTGTCGCATTTAGACTGTTCTCATATCACGACTATCTGTCGTGACTGTGTCGTGGACGTTTATTTTATCGGTGAACGAGACACGACATGTCTAGCTGTTCCCAATAGATCGTGACGACAATTTATAACGATGGTTCACGACACCCTCCTTGTCGTTTGCAAGACAGAATCGTTTGAAGCTACAATTATCTGTCGTCACATTTTTATCGTGACTTTTTATTTATCGTCTGATGACTGCTGTTCTAGCCTTTGTAACGACGGTCTGTCGTCGTAACGTCAAAAAAGTTCGCGTTGTTCTGTGTGAACAACTTCAATTAAATATACAAGCCACGATACCTTAAACTTCACGACTATCTGTCGTCACGATATAATGGAAACGCGCCCTGAGACCAAAGTTGATAAGTCCAATGTGCCTCTAATTTCTCCAGCACCCTTGGGCTCAACTCACAGTGGCGCAGTGTCGAAGCGTCGCGTCGCGTCCTGTGTTTTGTCGCGCGACGAAGCACGCGTTAGCGTGCCCAGATCACAGTGTGCTCGGCGTCTGACACCTCACTGCGCGCAAGGAACTTGATGAACTGGATTTTAACAAAGCATAGATGCGCGAAGGCGCGCGTCGTCGCGCTTCGACGTGCGTTTCCATATTTGCATAACAAAAATTTGTACTTTAACAATTGGAAAATGGAGATGAATATGCTATAGGCGAAAAAAATTACGCGTCGCGACGCTTCGACTCTGCGCCAGTGTGAGTTGAGCCTTGGAAAGCGTGACGCAGTTGTGGTCACAGTACTGTTTTGCGGCAGAAATAGGTAAGGTGGCAGTACTACCCTGGACAAACTCTTTCACAAGGAACGCTATTGCTCCTAAATATTAAGTATTTTAATTACTGCATAATTCCCTTATTATTCTGAACTTTTCCTTCCTTTAAGAATACCATAATTATTAAACGTTTCGCTATACATTCTGCTGGTTTCTCTTTAGCACTTAATAGTCTGCAAGTGAACATCGAAATAGAAGTATAATGCAATATATTACAAAAAAATATTAAAATAAAATTTTTTATCACAAAAACACAAAAACGGAAACAAATACGAAACAATTAAAACATAAATAAATACATAAATGTATTATATAATCTACAATCGCTACCATTTATCTAAGAATGGTCACACACGGCGATTTTTAGCAACGATGCAAACGCGCGACTGCATCGATACAAACGCGCGATTGCATAGATGCAATCGCCTATAAATCTCAAGTGTAGCGATGCAATTGCGAGTTTGTATCGAAGAAGTCGCGCGCTTGCATCGTATTTGCATCGCTGCATAAAATCGCGCGCAAGTTTAAAGGTAGACGATTAGCTACTGCATCGCGTTTGAATCGCGTTTGCATCGCTGCTTAAAGACACCGTGTGTAACCGCTCCAAGTTGTAATATAACGTACAAGATATGCTACTACGAAGTAAATTTAGATGGCTTCAGAATTCCCTTATTATCTACTACACTCAAAGGAATGTATTCGCTACCAGCACCAACAAAGTACCATTTCATACAATAATTATAATTTGTAGTTCACCAAATGTACATAAGTATATTCCATTTTCATACGACCTATACCCAATAATAAGACGTATGCAAAGTGATAATTCAATTATATTGTATCCGAAGGTTGATCCCACTCATTACTATGAACAACTTTTACGTATGGACTCTTCCAAACCCCGAAAAAAAGAGTTGTTCCATGCTAAACTACTAATTTTCACTCAATCAAAATAAATAGAGCGACCACATATCAACCAAATTGATCCTCCGCGGTAAAAGTTGTTCATATTAATGGGTGAAATCACCTTCAGGTGTAACACATTTAGGTTAACATCCTGTATATCATAAGACATATTATATGTATTAACATTATAGTGTGACCATACTGTGACCATGACCTCTAATAAGGTGCAACGCGGACCTGCCGCAAAGTCCGCGATCTAGTAATTCGAGCCCAAATCTTTGCAAACTTGAGTATGCATTCAGTGCACTGTTATTTTCTAGGAATGAAACTTAATTCATAAATGTTTTGAACTGAATTAATAAATTTGTGAAATCTAGTATTAATGATTTATCGGCTAAAAGGACGTTTAATATTCCGTATTTTGAGGATAATTTGTTGTACGTAGTGTTTATGTATTAGATAAGTACTCTAGTGTAATAGTACAACGCACCCGTTTAAAATAACCTAGTATTAGTAAGACGTCTTAAAAACGAAGTGATATGCCATAATAACGGTAACAAGTCGATCGCAGTACAGTTGTCTTTGATAAATACTGGGAGAGACTGCGGTAAATTTTCCTAAATACGGATATATACCACTTTCTTTCTGGAAAACTTCTTTGGCAAATAGGATTTTTTTTAAACAAACCAGATGTGCCCGAAACGTTGATGATAATAATTATAATGAACACACTCAACATAGCCCCGCACTAGGGAAACCTCGTGTCGCGGGTGCCATGGACAAACACATAGACAACCACAAATTACACCCAAACTCAAGAGAGCAATAAATGTAGGCCATACAAATATTTCTCCCGGCCTGGGAATCGAACCTGAGACCTCTGCGTGACAGTCCGGCATGGTAACCGCTGGGCCACGGAGGGAGTTGGTTTGTTACAATAAAACAGTGTATGTAGAAAAACGACCGTAAAGTTTGTGGAATTACATCGATTTGCCAAATTGAAATCGGTTAGTGGAAAGTGGGTGAAATTTATTAAATCTGACTCTCCAAGTTTTACTTACAGAGGTGGAATACTTTTTTCAAATTTCAATGGGACCACTGAGGTACCCCCTCGCTAACAAAAAGAATCCACTCGAAATCGACCCACTAATTTGGGGATTATCGCGTAATAATAAAAAAAAACAGTCGAATTGAGCAACTTCTTTATTTTTAAAGTCGATTAAAAAACATATATTCGCGATTTAGACCCGAAAAAATAGTTTCATTTCCTATGTGTAACAAACGCAAAAACTTTGTTCTTTTACACAGAACTCTTTGGTAACATTGTGAATAAACGTGAGTATCTTTAATAAAAAAAAAAAAAAAGATATATAGTTGGTCTAGACACAACTGGAACGGGCACCTAATTGCAATGTATAACTGTACAGTGTTCTTTATTCTTATTTACGAAATAGATTAGGACAACAAGACAAATATAATAATCTGGAATAGTTCTTTATAATGCTTGTGTTTCTAAGTACTAATTACAAATGTAGAAAATGCTCGTTAACTATGCTTTATTTGTTTAAAGCGAGCTTTGGTTTTGAAACAAAAGTCAGATTCACGCAGGGTCACTAGCTCGAATAATTTATAATATTTGGAGTTATTTATATTGTTTATCGAGTAATTACCGATTCTTATTTATTTTAATAATTATCACTTTGTGGAATTACATCTATTTGCCGAATTTTATTGAAATCGTTAATGGGAAGTGGGTGAAACCCAATAAAACAGATTCACCCTCTAATTTGCTACCCATAGAAATGGAATATTTCTTCAAATTTAAATGGGCAAACTGCTGAGATATCCCCTTTCCAATAAAAAATAATTATCGAAATCGGTTAGAAATGTCGGAGTATAATAGCGTAACACACACACAAATAATACAGTCGAATTGACAACCTCATCCTTTTTTTGAAGTCGGTTAAAAATATTCACATTTTTGTAAAGAGCATTGTCCTAGGTGATAAATAAAAAAGGGATATGCAATGTCTGTTACTTTTCCTCGTAATTCGAGTACATATATGGTGTATTTTCGGTTAGCACCCTGCGTCGTTCCGGCGGAAGCAAATATGTATCTCACAATTAAAAATTACAGCGTTGGACTTGCCATTAATTGTTCCCAATTACTTGGTTGCCAACGGGGTGTTTCATATATAAGCAGGTGCCTGCAACTGTTCGGCATTCCACTTTCGACCGCGACCGCGCGAACACCGCTTAGGCGAAAATTTCATAGGCGAGTACTGGAAGTACCAGCAGCGCCTGCGTTAGTTCGTTTGAGATCTCCGAAACTTAGAATATACATAATCATGCAGTCCCTGGTGAGTGACATTTTGTTTTATTTTGAGTGAAGTTTTGTTACACAGTTCGAAAAAGACACGTGTGTGTAGCAATTATATAATTGACTACCTTAGCTGAAAATATTTTTTCATATTTCTAGTATATATGTTATCAAAATTGTATGCAGATATAATCTTCGTACACAACAAAACACTAAAGAATATTTTGCATTTGTAAGTAGCAGTAGTAAGTAATTTCTCGTCCTTCCGGACAGGCTAAGGTATCTAATAGACTATACCGCCAGATCTTAGATTTTATTTTTTTTTCAATACTTTCATTTTCTGACATTTTTCGCGGGAAATCATTAAGTATATCCTTGCGGTGGGAATTTTGAAATAAAGTACTCCTGAGAAACTTTAAAAAAAATTTCGTAACCTGGGTTACTGTTACTGGAATACTGGATAAAATGGATTCAAGTCCATTAGTTGAAATATTAAAGATAAAAAACAAAAAATGATAAAAATATATCTTGCCATGTTGTTGCTTTTCAGTTTCAATGACTGAATTTGTCAAGCATAATTAATTATTTGTTCATTTTAATGTAAATATTTTCACAGTACATCAACTATGATTACACGTATAAAAAAATTATCTTATTCAATGTAAAATAATATATTTCATACCATTTTTCCTAAAAACAGTTCAGTATTATGTCACATATGAGGGGTCCGATTCGGTAACTAGGTAAAATTAATTTAAAAAAACGAACAATCTAATTCGGTTTAGATCTATTCTTCTACTCATACTTATTACTTACATGGGATACTCTAGTATATATATAAATTTAAAAAAAGTAAATAGACGGTTCAATCGAAGAAAAGTGTGTATCGCTGTTTGCGATGCTCACGTATTCTTATGCGTTGTTTATTAAAATCTAAGCTTTTACCTGAAACAAAGCAATGCTGCTTTACGGTGGAACTAGGTAGATTTCGCAGGTAACTCTATCTATCACCGATTTGTTAATTGGGGTACTTGAGAAGTACATTTTGTTTTTCATTGGGAGTGAGATTTAGTAGAGCTCGTCCAGGCAAGTACTATCTTACGTATTTCTGCCGCCAAGCAGTAACGTGAGCATTACTGCGTTACCGTTTTGCAGGGTAAGAGTGCTGGCGAAATCACAGGCACATGAGACTTGTCAACTTATGTCTCAGGGTGACGAACGCAAGGCAGTACACCTCAGATCTTTGTGATTTAAAGAACTGAATGGCACTCCAGCTGTTATGGACAGGCGTGTCGGTTACCAGCAGGCGCACGACTTGCTGGTCCCGTCATAGAAACTTCCTAACTTTGTGACATATTTTAACTCAACTAGGCATCCTTAGGCAAGTTTGAGTGCGTAACTAAACAATTTGCGCGTTACGTCTACTTTCTCCATAACGGCTTAATAACTAGTTATCCGCTAGAATTTTAATTATCATAGTACTAATTGGCGTTAAATAATACTAATCAAGTAAAACTGTTACCCATCAATCACCAGATTACATGATCAATTGAAATACCTGTTACCGTCTTCGAAATCAATCCATTTTTCAATACATTTATGTAGATATCCTGGAGTATTTAGATTACACAATGATTGGTTTTAAGTTATAATGATGTAACTAGCTCCAAAAACACTACTTTTAAATTGTTTACAAAAACACTCTTTTTGTCTAGGGCTTAAATAAAATACCTAATTCGTTCAGAATCTATGGTATTTTCCCTTCTAGGCCTTTCGGCTAAGATCCAAGTGTAATTTAAGGTACTTCATATTCATCTGTTTCCCGGAAGGATATAGTTAGTATTAAATTTGTTATTGTAAATCTAATACTAAAGTTTCTCTCAGTAAAATTGTGTTTATGTCACGACCTGGACCTACTAGAGTCCACTATTACAAGAATCCAATAGTGATTGCCACGTGGTTGTCACCGCTATTGATTTTTGCATGGCATTGGTTTTGCATTACAAATAAAAAGATACCTGTAGGTACATATTTGTACATGTAACCAAGTACGTCGTGACAATTCACTTCGGATTTGTATTGCATCAAAAATAACCAATAACAAATTCTAATAAATTCAGTACCGCCCCGTACATAATTCGTTTATGTCTCAATAAATTATTCGAGCATTAAACTCTAATCTAACACGTAGAATATTGTGTCAAGGTCCCTTAGACAATGTACTGATGCATATGCATCCGGTCTAGCGCCTACAATTTTAGAAGGTAATTAATTCCGCTTTTGCCTAATCTCTACAATACTCATAAATCTATTATCGGCTCTAAAAAGCGCCTAACAACTTGGCATTGAATATTCGGTGCAATATTCTAAAAAAAAACAATTACAAGTAATTGCCCAATCACAGGAGGCATTGTTTTCGCGCCTAAACAGCTGTCATTCTTCGTTGGGTGGGCGTGATGCGTGCGCATCGCGATTCTTTTTTGTAATACTGTGGGCGGTAGTATTTACGCTCAAAATGTTAGAATTTGTTATTCCTTTGTAATCATTATTAATTCTAGTCAAATTTTTACTTATTGATTTTGTAAATGATAAATACATAATGCAGTTTAAAGTAAATAATTTTCTAACGTCTTTCCTCTGATAAATTATGTTCAACGTCAACTTTGTTCGCATTTAAAATAAGTAACGCTTGAGTTTTAAACTGGACTTACTGAAACCTACCTACCAAGCGCAAGTAGTGGTTTATACTATCACCAAAAACAACAAAACATGAATTGCACGTAGACAATGCAATTTCACGATCGCGCTGTATGGAAAATATTAGCAATAATAACGGAGCATGACCTAGAGCAATAACTGGCAACTTACTAGCAATAAAGCGTGACGTTCCTTTTTCAAATTTCGATTTCTTTTTATTGGAAAATGTTACTTGCGATACCGTAACTTAGTGGCGTGACATAAAAGTGTAAGTTGGAATTTATTGAGGAAAAATTTGGAAGAAATTCTCATATATTTAATAGCAAAAAGTGAATCTGATCATGCTCCACTAGGTCTACGATTTTAGTCCATTTTGGAAGAGCAAAACAGAAACAAACAGGGAACTGTGAAAAAAAGTATGATACAAATTTTTTGCAGCCACTTACCTAAATTTCTAATTATGTTATCAGAAGAATCAAGGCCTTCATAAACGCATAAATTTGACAAAAAAAAAATAGCCATAACTACCTCTCTGGCCCCCGCCCGCTTCCTCTTGCCTCACGCGACGCCAAATGCAATAGCCGGTTGTGCACCAGTTCGCCGAATGATAATTCCGATCTATTGCAAAATGGCTTTTTGCAACTTGCAAAACACCGATATGAGGCCCACGCCCACAAATTACTAGACAGGCTACAGACTACAAACCTCTTTGTTCAAAACCTCCTTAAATTTTCTTTAATAGGAAATATAACTCCACTTAAGTTTGAAATTTTAGCTCTGAACAAATTTAATCACGATTCTTGGTCGATTATGATGCAAGCAAGGATTGTTTGACTATTTTCTCGTCATCAAACATTTTTGTCAGCGAAATTATTTCCACTGTCGCTAATGATTAAGTCGAGTTAATAATTACGCTAATGATAATAGTGTTCAAATATTTATTTACGTGAAATTAGAGAGGTTTTGCTTATTATATTAGTACGCACAATGCAGTTTTAAATCTTAAAGCTATTATTATACAAGCATCACCTTTGTTCAAAACCCATTCACATTCTCTCATATTCTATTCGTTGTCTGATTGACCATTACCATTTATTGTAACAATCACCAATTATTGCAAACCTTTCAACACCAAAGGGCGTTCTCTATTAATCATGACTCACTTTAAACCATGATATGGACTCTCATATAAAATATATTAATATTGACCAACTGTAAGCTATTGTAATAAAGATTGGTTACGCATTTTTTTATACACAATTGCTATATTTACTTGTTCATCGTATCCATAGACTACACAGAACGAGTGCTTTATAGCACCTTTTTATAAACTAAAGTAAACGATAATAAAATTCACGTATCTAAATTGGATTTTTGATCGACGTATTGAATTTTTCTTTTTTCGAAAATTGTAGCTTTTATTGTACACGAAATAAGCATGTCAAAATGTGAATTGTTACTACAAGTTTGATGAAGAATTAGGCCACTTAAATTCGCATCAATTGCTATACAATATTCTATCAGTGGTCTTCAAATTATACCACCCATATTTTATAGAATTTATCTACAACGAAATAAAACAAAATTGAAATTCGCCTTGAGTAAATTCTCAATAATAATAGGCAATAAACAACCGCCTGTACAAACAGCGTTGCGTTTCAGACAAGTGCTACGAGATTTAGCGTATTGAGACCACTTAACCTGTTCCCAGCGAATGTTTGCTTTGTTAACTCAACGAGTGGACACTATAATTTATCTGTATCTATTTTGTAGCCGTTTGGGTAGCCTTAAAATGCCAACTCAATGTCTATAGACACGAAACAAGACATACAATTCCTTATATTAAATGTTTTTTTCCAAAATTGCACCCGCCGTTTTTCTTAGTAATAGCTGCAAAAACGGCCATAAGTTGTTCAGGGTGAGATTTCTAAAACTAAGTTTGCCTTCGTCTAGGTCTCGTCTAGAAACGAAATAAGCAAGCTTTTCGTATTTCCATGCATACGCAACGAAATTACATAAAACTTTCAGTATAGTTCGTAATTTCTTGCTTAAACTAAGGCAAAGTTCCTGTAGTAAATACGAAAAACTTGCTTAGCCTGTCATAATTGCTTAGTTGAAGATCAAATTCGTGTTATAAATTTCAGCCTTAGAGAGACCTATGTCCAGCAAGAGACTATTAGATTGATTTGGTGTAATACGTGATGTACTTGTCATCATATAAAAAAGTTCTATCAGTAGGTACAGTCAATACGCGCCAAACTTTGGATCTTGGACTATCTTATCGTAATAAGTTTAGAGTTCAATTTAATCTGTCCGTAGAATTAAACGAAGTTAAAAAATTCA